TGGATATACATGTTTATAAGCCGGGTACAAATCGGTTCTTATCGGGTCGGGTCTATTCGGGTCGGTTCTTTTCGGGTCCGGGTCTATTCGGATAAAAGAAATTTAGATCCAATAGGTACTTATAAATTTTCGAGTCGGGTTTGGGTCGGATATTTTCGGGTCGGTTCCGGTTCGGGTCTTCGGGTCCAGGTAAAATGCCCAGGCCTAATTGAAATAATACTAAAACATTATCCATGATTATATTATATACACAGCTCGACATTTTTGTTTTGTAAACGCTTCAATTATTATACTACATATGTGAAGGTGTGTTTTCTCCCTTTTTATAAATAGTTTGCATGCATAAAATATAAAGTTCCAGAATCATCCGATCAACTTGGTCAGAAAAGTAATTGTGGACTCATCCTGTTTGTGTGGCTTACATAATATGGATTTTTATATTTGGATTATATATAATTATATACTTCTATCTGTTGCAATTGCGCCTACTGAAATCTTCTTTTATGTAAACTAAGAATTTAGTTTATTTATTATCAGATTTATTTATTATCAGATATACATACTTTCAGCTAATTAAAGTATATCAGAAGGTTAAGAATGATATTTTTTTTTTTAGGAAGACTGAGAGAAATTCTTTGGAGTTAGTCGATATAAGTGATAGCTAAACTTGGTTTAATGCAAATAAAATGGTCATTCACGCTCCACAAGAGCATAGTAGTGAGGCTCTCAAGATCATAAACTTGGATAATATATGTATGGTGGATGATTCATGAACTTCCACAGCACGTTCATTGGTTGTGGTTGGGTTTGGGTTTGGAATGATAGTTTCAGAAAGATTTAGTTCATGAAAACGTGAAACTTATAAAGACGAGAAACTATTTACATTCAAAAGTAAAAGTATTGTAATGAGCAATGTGAAACATGCTACAACATTCGTTATGACATCTCTTTAGAACATACAAGGATCTGATCACAATGATAAATGAACCTCAACCTTGACCAAACTTTGCAACATAATTCAAGGTTATAAAAACGCTGCAGATATATTTTTCAGATTCCAAGATATTTCATTTCCAAGGGCACAAAATTGAATTTTAGATTTTTTAACTAAGATTACAAGACCTTTTCATAGAGAATTTTTTTTATTGGCTTTTCTATTCATGTTTGGTTACCAGACCACCTCAGTTCTGATTGTAAAAAATAATAATTAAGATATAAATTGTTATTATTATTATTATTATTATTATTATTATTATTATTATTATTATTATTATTATTATTATTATTATTATTATTATTACTATTATTATTACTATTATCCCTTTTATATTATTTTAGAAACATTACAATATTTTAGTTAGAATATTTCTTAAAATCACTAAAGAAATGTGTAGGTCCATCTAAACATATATTATACAATTCATTAAACTAACCTTAATTGATAATCTACAATTATTTTTTTTTCTCCGTTCCCTAAATATATATGTGACATTACGATTTTTGATTAATATGGATTTGATAATTGTATCCTATATCATTTTTAAATGTTATATTAATAAAATAAATTAATCAATCAGAATAATCATATAATGAGATTTTAGATGTATATGTTTTTTTGAGAAAGAAAAGTTTGTGGACCACTATACTATATAATTTTCTTAAAAATGATTATAAATTACTAAAATAGTTAAAAGTCGCTCATGGAAATTTTTTTGATCAATGATTTAATTTTTTTTAAAGATAAAAATAATTAAAACCATATGAGTAAAAGTTTCATTTAATAGATATTCGGATAAATATATATTAGTTATACTATATACCATATAAATACATGAAGTTTTTAGTTTCAAAATTTGAATTGAACAAGTATTGAGAACTTAATATTTTAATTTTTAAATTTGAATTGATATTGTAAAAATGATTAGAAATTATTAAAACTATTACAAGTCCCACATTTAAAATTTTATCACCAATAGTTTTAGAATATGCTATAAGACATACACATGATCATAAAAATATATGAGTAGAAAATCTGATTTAATAGATAAACATATTAAAATATACCATATATATTAATTATTTAGATTTAATTATATATCACGCAAAATAGATAAAAATGATTAGTGATTGTTTGGATTTATTTACCATTAAATGATTGTAAATAATTAAAAAAAAAAAGAGAATGCTTTGATTTGTGTTTGCTCCAATTAATTATAAGCGTAATAATTTATGTTTTCTTAATGATTAAATAAATATTTATTATTTTGATATTTATAATATATAATAAAATGTAAAAAATATAATAATACATAAAGTTAATTTACACATAATTATCATTCTACGTTGATTTTAAGCTAGTATTATATTTTGTTGGAATTACATCAAAAGTGGTCAATATACTGTTAAATCTAGCTACTAGGTCGCTAGAAACTTATTGAAGAACGAAGAGGAGTTAGTGGTGAGTGAGCCAAGTATTTCCAAACTCGAAGCCTTCGTTTGGAAAGTAAAATCACTTCAGAAGATACGCCATCTTTTGTGGTAACTGTTAACTGGTCACGTGGTCGTTACGCAACTGAACCATAGGAATATGCGATTTTATTGTTTTAGATGTGGGGAACCAGAGTAAACAGTTACACATGCCATCTTTAAATGTCTTCCTACATTGCAAGTCTGGTCACTATCAGCAATACCATCTTGTCCCGATATTTTTCCAAAAGGAAATATCTTTGCCGATATGGGCTACTTTTTCTGGAGGAAAAACAATTTTGTGGAGCCAGATTTAGATATGGACCCTTATCCTTGGATAATTTGATATATATAGAAAGCTCATAATGATAAATTATTCAGGGGAATTAACATGGATCCTCTGAAATTAATCAGGTATACGAAAAACGGATGTCATGTCTGGTTTAACAGAAACGAAATGATTACTCCTAGTCCACATGAGCATAATAGCAATGCACTTCAGGTCATAAGCATGAATAATATTTATATGGTGGAAGGTTCATAGACCTCCACAATTCAATTTTGTTGATGTGGTTGAGTGTTGATAGATAATCTTGGGAAGATTCAACTTATGGGAATGCAAAACTCAGTAAGGAAAGAGATTGTGTTGCATTCAGAAGTAAAAGCACTATGATGGGTAATAGAGAACATGCTTCAACATTCGTCATGTTAGTGTTTTGCAAGGACCTGATCGCAATGGTAAAAGATCCTGGAATTTGGCCTAATTTTGCGATAGAAATAGAAACTATCAAGTTGTTGCCCATATGTTTTCCATATTTCGAGATACATCATATCCCAAGAGCACAACATGGATATTCTGACTTTTTAACTAAAAATATGAGATCTTTTTATAGAGAAATCTGATTTATTGATTATTCTATTCCGGTTTAGTTATTAAAATCATTCAAGTTTTAGTAATAAAATAATTGTTTGATGTAAAAAAAAAACTAGTATTATATATTGTCCACAACAAAACAAAAGAAGATTTTACGATGAAGATCGTGACTCGCGAACTCACATGTGAAGTGTAGTTGACATAACAATATGACAAGGTGTTTAAAGAAAAAAGGAAAAAGAAGAAGCATAAACATAAGTAAATTGGGTCCATCAAATAATTAAATTATGTCAAACCGAAGCTTAAGTTGTTGTTTATATGATATGAAACCAAATAAATCAAAATTATAGTTACTTTTGCCCACTACATTTGATGTCTTTCTTATGTCCACATACATATAAATATTCACTTTCATGAATGAGGATTTAGGTGAGTTCAATGAGCTGCCAAACAAAACATTGTAGGTTTGGTAAAACAAAAAAGACACAGAAACCAAGTTTCCAGCTTCCTCAACTGATTGGGCAACTGAAATTTCTGTGTGCATGGCCCATGGTAAGTCTTTATTTTATCTTCTTAGTCTGGACCATAGTAATTTGGTTAAAGTGTGGCATATTCGTTTTTGGTTAAACTAAGCATTTCCTAGTATGGTGCGAAAATGATAAATATAAAAATACTGAATTTGATAGCAAAAGAAAACTAACAGTTTGGGTTAGTATTTTGATGTATTATCTTCCAAATTTTATCAGCATTACGCATAAAACTATGATAAACATTTAACTTGCAATATAATATATCACTTATATGTAGGATTAATTTGATATATGTAATATTGTGAACTTCAACTGTACATTAAGAGAAAATCTCTCAACATTATACGAATATTCCTTGAATTTAAAAATGTACTATATAGTGGACATATATCATCATTTATCATTGGTTGTTGATAGGAAAAAAATATAACTGGTAAGAAAATGGCATTTTATAAGAAATTTTCATTTTCTAAAAGATTTGCTTCTTTTTCATTTTATTAAAAATTTATTTTTCTTCATTGTTTCTTCGTTTAGTTTTCTCTCTATTTAAATGATAAACATCAAGTTGCAAGAGATGATGTGTGTTTGCCCCACTCCTCACATAATAATACATTTCTTCCAACTTTTCACAATTCACATCCCTCTTTCCCATTCCCAAATACATACATACAAACGTGATGCAACTGCAAAAATATATCAAAACGAGATTCCACAATTAGCGAGGTACTAGTCAAAGAGCGTCATGGTGATGGTGTGACCCCAAAGTAAGTATTCACATGTTTCTTAAGTTTCAAGCATTGAATTTTGATATATATCCAAACAAAAAAGAATTGATTTCTTTCCCTTTTCTATTTATATATATTTTTGAAGATTCATATCCATCTTTGTAAAATTAAGATTTTTTTTCTCTTTTTGTATCATTGTTTCCCTTTGTGCTTGTTTGTATAGATGATGAAAATGAGGAAATGGGAGAAGAAAAATTGAAGAACACAAGATGTGTCTTCTTCTTTTAAGACATTAAGACCATCAACAAGAGAAACAATTATAAATTTATATATAGAGAGAGGGATATATAGAGAAGACAGAGATTTATCGATTATTTGTTTTTGCAATAATCCCTTGAGTGAATAATGCCAGTCCCTCTTGCACCATATCCAACAACTCCGGCGCCGCCACTGGCTCCGGCATACACTCCTCCGCCTCCTGCAAATGGTATAGACTCTTTTCAAATAACAAAACTTTAAACCCAGATAACTCCTCTGTTTTCAAAAGCTAAACAATCCAAAGTTCGAATCATGACATAAGTCCATGTTTAAGTTTTCTAGAAATAACTAAAAATCCATTCTAGGATTTTTTTAATTTATTTTCTTTTAACTGATCAAATATTTTATAGATTCATCATAACCTTAGGTGTTCTTCGTTGCATTTATTGCAAATAATCGATATCTTGTATGGATTCAGATTATTCCCAGAAACCCATTTGTTAATCGATAATCAAATATTTAGTACACATGAGGTCATGTTGATTCACAAATTTTTTTTATTTTTTGGCAAAAATAAATAGATAATAATAATGGTTTCGAGATTTATAGGTAGTACAGGTGGACAGAGCCAGTTAGTGTGTTCAGGTTGCAGAAACCTTCTGATGTATCCCGTCGGAGCAACCTCTGTCTGTTGTGCCGTCTGTAACGCGGTCACGGCCGTTCCTCCGCCGGGTAATTATCAGTCAAAATGTTTGATGAAAAAACGATTTAAAGAGATTTTGGCTCCATAATAATTGGCCAACGCAGGAACGGAGATGGCTCAGTTAGTGTGTCGAGGATGCCATACACTTTTAATGTACATTCGAGGAGCTACAAGTGTTCAATGTTCTTGTTGTCACACCGTTAATCTTGCCCTCGAAGGTTTGCATTTGATACATAAACATTTCACGCATGCATATTGATGCTTATGTTAATCCGATCTCAAATTAGTTTGGAGTTTTGGTTAAGAAATATAAGAAACCAAAACCAATATCAAATTAATTCTTGACTGCGATTTATAGTAGTAAAAATTTATTATATGTTTTCAGATTAAATAATAAAATAAATTTAAGTATCAGCCTGTTTTTGTGGGTCTAACATGCATTATACAGATTTAAACCCGAGTGGTAACATAGTTAAGTAAACCATTAGTTTACAAGCTCTTGTCGTTTTACGGGTCTTGTTTAGTTTCGGTTTTTTTTTATTTAAGATAATACAAACAATTCTGAAGTGTTTTGTTTTGTTTTTAGTTATTTTATGGTCTGAGTTTAGTTTTGGTTTTCGGTAGAATAACTAAACTCAATAAGACAGCTCTTTGATCTTTTTAGTTTCAAGTTATGTTAGATCAGTTTGTTTATACAATATGAGTAACTCTCGTGTCTCTTACATGTTGAATATTAGCGAATCAGGTGGCGCATGTGAACTGCGGAAGCTGCAAGATGCTACTAATGTATCAATATGGAGCAAGATCTGTGAAATGTGCCGTTTGTAGCTTTATCACGTCTGTTGGGGTAATATTAGTCCTCTTCATAAAAAGGGAAAAAACCGATTTTAAAACCTTTGCAAATAACTAACAAAATGATTTGCATTTGTTTACATTAGGATGCTTCTTTATATAATGTTTTTTTTTGGTGGCTGGGTTTTCATAATGCTTTGTAGGGTTCGACGAGCACGACTGATCAGAAGTTAAACAATTAAAAGTTGGTATGGATCGTTTTTATATATTGAATTGTGAGCAATATAAAAGAAGAACCAAACCCTTTTTCCCCTCCTCGAAGTAACTTGAAATTTGTAATTCGTCGAAATGTCTGACTTTGGTATCTTTGTCCGTTTGTATAGAGTTGTCTCTCTTCAATGTTTTCTGTTTAAATGATTTCTTCTTCCTTTTGTTCTTTTTCTTTATTTAGAGAAGAAGTTGATTCACCAGTTTGTAAGAGTGATTCAGGAATAAAAGCTAAGCTTTTAATAGATGATATTCAGTTAATGGCTGATGCATTAGCGCATAACACAACGTAAATTACGGCTGGACACAAATACTAGATACTCGGCTTGTACCCGCTACTCGTCCCGTATTTACTCCGTAAAACAAATATTTGCGATGATCAAACCAAGTAACAAATATTTCAAACCAAAAATTTGTAAGTACAAATCAAATATCAAGTCTTTAAAAAAATTAATTACTTGGTTCGTTTGTATTTACTATTTGGCATAAATTTTTATAATTTCAAAATCTTAATCTATTTACATTTTAAAATTAGATAAATCATGTTTCTTTTCACTTGGATTGTTTGTCTTGTTTCACTTTAAAAAATCAAGTTCTCGACATTGTTAAGTCGGATAATAAGCCAATAAATCTTATTATTTGTAAATGTAAGTCATCAAATATATTTATATCTTTCAATATTTATCTCATTCCCCTTTTTACCTAATATTTGTTACTTGTTTTTAAAGATTTAATTATAATATATTTAACATATTTATATTTTATTTATATTGTAACTGAAATCAAATACAGATCAGATTCAAGTAATTTTTTTTAATAAAAAGATAGCCAAATTCATTGTATGAGATTATGTTTTATTTTACTAATTTGCAATTTGTAAGTAACAAGTATTTTACAAATATGTAATTGATTTTACAAGTAGAAAATTGGATCAAGTAATTTGCAATAATTTGCAAGTACTGATTTTTTTCTCCCGTACTTGAAATAGCAAGTACTTGTTTTTGACAAACCAAATTCGAATCTTAAATACGATTACTTGAACAAGTTAACCAAGTATCAAACTTTCCAAAATCTATAAGTATTGGGCTTGCGCTCAGTCCTAACATAAATGCCATTTTTTTTTATAAAAACTATCTTTTTCAGCCACAAAAAAAAGTTGTCTTTCCCATTTCTACTGTACATATCTCGAGAGAAAGTTTTACATGTAAACAAAATTCAAACCTTTTATTTGACTACTTACTATATTATAGACCTGTCTAGCACAAGGAAACTAAACAGTCGGCTTTGTCAACACACACACACATATATATATCACTACAAGAAAACACGTCTTTTATTAGGACGGGTTTTCCTCGTTATTTCCTAGTAAACGGTCATTTACTAGGAAATAACAAGGAAACGCGTTTCGTCGAAAGACGTTTATCATAAAGCATATTTTCCTCGTAATTTCCTAGCTAATTTACGAGGAAACATTTCCTCGTAAACGCGTGGATACGTTTTCCTCGTAAGGTCCACATAGGCTTTCCTTGTAAGCTCATAGTAAACTATTTCCTCGTAATCTCGTAGTAGGATCTTTACGAGAAACTTGCTAGGAAAGTTTACGAGGAGTTTACTTCGAAACCTTAACGAGGATTTTGCTTAGAAATAATTTTTTCCTATTTAAAAAAAAATATTTATAATTAAAAATTATATATATTAAAAAAATTAAAAAAACCAAATTATAAATAACAAAATATTTATAAATAACTAAATAATATACAATTAATAAGTTTTAAAATTCATAATATACAATTAAAAACTAAAAAAACTAAAAGGGATGCTGCTCTTGAAATTGGTGCACGAATTCGTCGTCTCCAATGTTGGATGCCGGCTGTGACTGAGATGGTGGAGACTGTTGGGGTGGAAGGGCTCCGCTTTCCCGTCTCTGACGCAACATCTCCGCCACTTGCGGGTTTCCAACCGCCATAATGTCGAGGATATCGGTGAGCGTACTCACATGAGACTGCGTCGTCTGCAACTCCGTCTGCAGCTGAGCATTGGCATCGTCTTGTTGGTGAACATAAGTCGATGTCACTGCGGAGACATCGTTAACCGAGCCAATCCCGACAATACGGCCCTTTTTTCCTAGGGACCACCTGTAAATAAAAATATTAATAACGTAAGGAAACATTTAAATAAATAATAAAAATTAATATATCAAAACAAATTATTTACCTCCTCATAAATCTTATCCACTTCAAGAGTGGATAATACGACCGTAGCCTCAGTCTGCTGAGTCAGCTGGGTCTAGCGTTTGTCAACTCGGGCAGCAACTTCGTTGTAGATCCGCTCGGAAGCAGGATCTACAAACTGCCCACTCTTTTTTCGGTGGGTCCGCTCGTAAAGGTCTTTCAGAGATAGAAGAACTCCTGTCTCTTTAGCCTTAATTTTTTTTTTAAAATTAAATATTAATTTAGAATATTAGAATATTCAAATAAAGTAAAAATTAAATAGTTATAAAAAATACCATGTCTAGACGAACTCCCCCGTGAGGTTTTCGGCCCATGGTGTGAAGCATCTTCGTGTTGCCATGCTCGTCTGTGGTCATGCGGTTCTCGGAGTTTGTCTGGGAGGTTCTGATCGAGTCCGGCAACGCCCAATAGCTGATGAGGCCATCCCACACCGTGGTTGTGAGGCAATCGGGTTTCCCGCGCTCGTAACCGTCCACCTGATTTAAAATAATAAGAATTAAAGTCAATAATATATATTTTTAAAACTATACATATATTATAATTTATAAATTTATACCTGAAAGTCGCCATTCCAGTTGTAGACCATGTCGCACAATCGTGCTTTTGCCTTGGCCTCGAACTCTGACTTCACCCGCTGGTGAATCCCAGTAGACCAACGATATTTTTGCTGCAACCAGAAAAAATAAAAGACGGATTAGTTCAATAATATTCATAATTTTAAATGATTAAAAATAAATTAAGTTGATTTACTAAACTTACAGCGAACGATTTGAACCACGTCTTTTTGGTGTGGCTCGCCGTCATCTTCCAGTTTGGAGCTGCATCAGGAAAGTATCCCTTGATACAGTCCGTGACGCTAGATCCGACACAATTATCAAGACCAAACCTGGAAAGACATAAAATAAATCATTAATTAGAACATACCATAATACTTTTTAAAAATTAATAAAACTTTTTAAAAATTAAAACATACCATAATACGTTTTGGCCGTCCAGTCGGATAGGATCTAACTCTGGCATCCATTCTCTGCTTGGAAGGGCCAAAATATCCTCCACCGTGTACACCGCAAATGGTGCGTTCGGCGGCACCTACAAATCACGATGAATCCTGACCGGTGGAGGAGGAGGAGGAGGAGAAGGAGGAGGAGGTGGCTGCTGAGACCGGGATGCCGTAGAACCTCCCTGAGTCTCGGGAACTCCCGAAGATGAACTACCGGGAGCTGGCGAAGACGAACCGGGCCCGAATAGATCTCCATAGTGAATCCTCTGATCAAGAGGCCTCCTCGACTGAGCAGCAGCAACTTTGCTCTTTCTAACCATCTAAATTAAAAAAAAAAAACAGAAAACATTAATTCTCGTATAATTTTTAAAAACAGTTAAACTAACCTAATCTAAATTTCCTAATCTAACCAACTAATCTAAATTTCCTAAACTAACCACCTAATCTAAATTCCCTAATCTAACCACCTAATCTAAATTCCCTAATCTAATCACCTAACTAGGAAATAGAGAGTACCTTAAGAGAA